TTTGAACATAAAACTCCACAGGATTGACTGAACATATGCTCATGACAGCTCAGTTTGCATGCAAGTCCAGAACAGAGAGTAAAAAAAAAATCAATTTCTGAAATTTCAGCTATTTAATTATTTCATTTGTCATGTAAACTGTGATCAAAATGTTTTGACATAAAACTCCATGTGACTGACTGAACATAAGCTCATTACAGCTCAGTTTGCATGCAAGTCCAGAACAGAGAGTAAAATAAAAAGCAATTTCTGAAATTTCAGCTATTTAGTTGGTGCATTTGTCATGTAAACTGTGATCAAAATGTTTTAACATAAAACTCCATGTGACTGACTGAACATAAGCTCTTTACAGCTCAGTTTGCATGCAAGTCCAGAACAGAGAGTAAAAACAAATGCAAAATTCAGAATTTCTACCCATTTGATTGGTGCATTTGTAATGTAAACTGATTAAAGTGTTTTGACATGAAACTCCACATAATTGACTAAACATAAGCTCATTACAGCTCAGTTAGCATGCAAGTCCGGAAACAGAGCCCTCCCCCTCCCCACNAAAAAAAAAAAAAAAAAAAAAAAAAAAAAAAATATATATATATATATATATATATATATATATATATATATATATATATATATATATATATATATATATATATATATATATATATATATATATATATATATATATATATATATATATATATATATATATATATATATATATATATATATATATATATATATATATATATATATATATATATATATATATAACCATTTGACATTAATGACAGAACGGTGGCAAATGTAGTGAAGTAAAAGTAAAGTTTTTTCACTACTTATTTACTTGAGTATAAATACACATATTTAAATGTACTTTAAAAGTACAAATTACTCAGAAATTGTAAGTAAATGTAATTCGTAGTTTGTAATACGACCCACCTCTGGTAACAGCTGCTTGTTTTTTTTTTGTTTGTTTGTTTTTTATAGGTCATGGAAATGTGGGTCTTTAGTCATTAAAATCAGGGAATTAACTTTCGGCATTGAATGTTTTTTAAAATGACATTTAGATTTAGGCTGATTTAAACTTTCTCCTGGTGCTGCATCATGGACCTCTGCTGACAGCACCTCGCGAAACAGATGAGGCTTTTATAGTTGATGCATTTGCCGTTGTGATATACTTTAAAATGACAGGAGCCAGTCAAAAGAAACTCGCTGTACAGTCAGACGCATAAACAGAGAAGTAGAACGTTTCCAGAAGTACACCATATCATTAAAACCCATAGGTATATACAAAATATATAAATATAAATGATTAATATCTTACAAGATTTTGAAACTAATTATTTTTATATTTTGTTTGAATTTATTTGAATGATTATAAAGATTTTCATAACCATTCAAGATTTTTAAAATCAAACTTTGATGCATCACTTGCTTTTGTTCATATCTCGGATAGTTTTACCTGTTAAAAGGTCGATATATTAAATATCTATTAAATATATAAATACCTATTAAATATCAATGACAACAGAACATGGGTTGCTAACTTATCTTGGGTTGCAAACGTATCACTCAGGTTTTTCCAAACTTGTACAAAAAGTTTCCTCCTGTTGCTTTTTCTAGCCAATAATTATTGGTCATCTGGTTATCCCTATGATCACGCATGTTTCAGACAAAATTTCTTCAAAGTGATTCATATTCAACTCAACTGAAATGCCTCACCGCGCAAACTGACCACTTGAGTTTCAAAAAATGTAGTGCACTCCGCCAGTCGAAATGATGTCACGCAAACTCAAAGCGAACCATTGCAAACACAGTGATGATGTTACATTTGCCACACGCACTCAAGCGAACTAGCGAACGCATCAAGTATAAACCAGGCTTTGGAACAGGAACCCTGTTTACAATAGAAATGCATTTCTCTTTCGTTTGATTGCCACATCTGTCTAGTCATCGCACTTGTTTTGACCGTTTCAGCTGGAGCAGTTCAACATGATGGAGAACCCCATCAGCTCCAGCAGTCTGTTCAGCGAGGGATCAACTCTCAACTACTCTCAGGCTGCGATGCTCAACCTCACCGGCAGCCACGGCAACCTGCAGGACGCGCAGCAGCTAGGTTACAGCAGCCATGGAAACATCCCCAACATCATCCTCACAGGTATTGCACCCACCCTGCGGAGAGATTGCATAATATTGCATGTACCTTTTGTTGTGCACATGCTGACGAAGCTGCCGTGGAGTCTAGAGGACCCTCTCCAAGTTTAGCATGATATGAAACTCGTCTTATAGTTACAGGAGAGTCTCCTCAGAGCATATCCAAAGAGTTCTCCAACTCTCTGACAGGTGACGTGAGCTTTGACGCAGACTCGCAGTTCCCGCTGGATGAGCTGAAAATTGACCCGCTGACGCTGGATGGCCTGCACATGCTCAACGATCCAGATATGGTACTGACCGACCCGGCGACAGAAGACGCTTTCCGGATGGACAGGCTGTAATCTTTAGGTATACAGTGTTCAGTTTTCGTCATATGAGATCCGTTTGATTTAAAAGGGAGTGCAGCAGCACGTCTGGGGGACACTTGACCATGTTTCTCAAAGCCCAGATTGCTGAAAATGTTGCCACAGCATGATTTGAGGAGAAAAGAAAAAAATATATGGGGAAGCAGTGCTGCAATGTCTAAAGAATCAAGCTTCTGAACAAGCAGCCCATCATTTCTTAGGATAGTTTACTCACACCTCAGTAATTCCGGTTTTTTAGGCTCTATATGAGAGAATGTGACACTACAAAGGTCCCTTAACGTTCAGTCATGCATTCTTCCATTTCATTGCCTGTAGATGCACCTCCTCTCATCGTACATGCCTGTTGCTTTTTTTATTTTTTATTTAATATATACCTATATTTATTTATGCACTTTTATACATGCATATACCACCAAAAACATTGTCTGTTCCTATACAAATGTTTGTTGGTTGTGAGAGCAGGAGTAGTTAAAAAGGAGTGTTAATCTTCCCCCATTTTACGGGCAGTCCTCATGCAACACTAATGTACTTCAGTGCAGTCTGAACATATGATTGTAATGTTTTCTAGATGTCTAATGTTGTCGCGTCATGATAAGATAGTGGTACAGCTTATAAAAAAAAAAACAATCAAGAAAAATGTTTGAAATGAAATCATAATTTCAAAAAGTGCTTTTTTTAAATGGATGGTTCACCCAAAAGTGAAAGTTCTGTCATCCTTTACTGATCATGTGTGGCTTCCAAACCTTTTTAGCATTCAAAAGCAGATGTTTTGTCACGTTTTTCCTGAGGAACTCAAAAGAAGATATTTTGAGAATCAATAATAAAAAAAAGTGCTCAGGGGTAGCTTAAATAATGTGTCAGTGCTCTTTGGGCAAGGGGTTCGTCAGAATAAACAGCAAAAATCAGCCCAAGCTGAGCTTTTTTCCCTTCCCCGCTGTGAAAGTCAATGGTGTCCAATATAAAATGTTTAGACCCTGTTGACTTTCATAGTGAGGGAACAAATAAATGAAAGAGAACTCAGACAAATGAGTGACAACAAACTTGATCACATACTGTATATTACTGTGTCTTTTTGTTTTTGTTTTTAATTTCTGAAAGCTTTAAAAGTAATGTCATAGACTTGCATGAGTAACAAATTCAACCTTTAAATGACAAAATTTACAGTTTTGATTTAAATGTTTCAATGTCACATGATCGGGTCAGTTTACATACTCCCTGCTCACACAACAAAAATATAAAAGAGGTGGAAATTTGCTAATGGTCACAATTAATTAGTTACTAATTCATAGTTTATAACCAATTTATCATATTATCAATCAATTTATTATTCATTTAATCCATTGAAAATGAAAGTGATGTGGACAAGTTTGGTGACCCATACTTTAATCTGTACTCTGCATTTAACCCATCAATGTGCACAGATAAAAGTAAAAAAAAAAAAAGCCCAAAGGTCACTATTGAGAACAGGTATAAAACCTAAACCAACATAGTATCAAAGGTTGTGTGTTAGGGAGGTCTAAGAATAAAAATGTATATTATCAAATTTCAAAAATAAAATTGGGAATAAGCTGCGGCACGGTGGCTCAGTGGGTAGTGCTGTCACCTCACAGCAAGGAGGTAACTGGTTCGAGCCCTGAGTTTTCGCGTTCTCCCTGTCTTTGCGTGGGTTTTCAAAGACATAAGCTATAGGTGAGTTGAATAAACGAAATTGGCTGTAGTGTATGAGTGCATGTGGGAATGGGAGAGTGTATGAGGGCATCCACTGTGTAAAACATATGCTGGAATAGTTGGTGGTTCATTCTGCTGTGGCGAACCATGATAAATAAGGAAATAAGCCAAAGGAAAATGAATAAATGAAAGAATTTGGCATTAAATAGGTTGACTGCAGCAACTTTTGCGCTATTAGAGTGGATTTGCCCACATTTGGGTCCTTGCCCGTTGATTTAGGACATGCTCATTGCAATTACAAGGCCTTTAAATAGACTATATTTATTTTTCCATTACTACGTCCCTGTGGTCTGCCTTTTGCGTTCCTACTGCCTTCTCACCTGGTAGCCATTTATCATTCTCCGTCTCCAGAAATCAAACACTTATTCTCCGTTCGCTATGGGCCTAAAGTAACAATGAAAGTTGATAGGCCAGTTAATCTAATTAGTCAACAATACAACAGAGGCCTCTTGAAATAGTCATCTAAACAGCTGGGGACAGGGTGGTGGATAATTTTTAGATCTTATAAATGCACAGATTCTAGTCACAAGGACAGGTCGGCACTCACACGAAATTGCCACATTTATCCAGCTAATATTTGGAGCCATGCAAAGTTTCACCTAATCTATGAGACAAGCCTGTGTTACTGGATAAAGCTGGCAGTGAAGACACACAGCTTTGGAGTGGCATGATAATATGTAAATGATGACAGAATTTTCAAGTCTGAGAGTGGATAAGGAGAAAAATGTAAAAAAGATGTGTACAGCGTTTTGAGTGTCCAGAAAAGCGCTATAGAAATGTAAGAAATTATTAATATGTCAAATTTACTATTTATTTATTATTGAATATCTGCCAAAACCAAGTCCTGAGGGCAAAACAGGTGCACGATTCAAGCACATCAGAGTTATTAAAATCCATCCAATGTGTGGTATGATTATTTTTATAAACATAAATGTGTGCGCAGAGCATACCGTACCCACAAATAAGAAATCACTTCAGAAAAAACAACCATTTTGTAAAAACACTTTGAAAACTTCTTAGATAATCCGCTTGTTAAGTGTGACGTCACACGAAGCAGCATCCGGGTCCAAGCCCTCTGTCAAACTATATGGGGAGACTCATGAAATGTTAATAATAAGCGTTTACAAAGCGCTTTAATACTTTCGAAAATCACAATTGCAATATATAGGTTCCTGCCTAATATCTGATGGCCAGAAACTGATTATTTTTTTATAAACTGTTAAAATTGAGGTATTTGTGATGCAGCAAGCCCAGAGATTGTTGTGTACACCATGACTTTACATAAAATTCACTTTAATGTGTGATCATAAACTAATATTTTTTCAATTCAAATGAGTGGCGGCTTGGACCCGGAAACAGTATTACATACGTCACCAACAGGACACCACTTAACAAGACTTGAATTGTAATCTTTTCACTCACATAAACACACACAAAAATAAATAAATAAATATGCCGATGGGTCTGAGACTTAAATAATAAACCTAATATAGCTTTATCTTGAAAGTCGTTCATATCTTTGTTACATACTATGTATTTATTTATATACAAAAGTTGTACAAATAATAAACAAATGTATCTTTAGAATTTATTTGTCTTACTTTCACTTGATTTTGATTGTGTTGCTTCCATACTAGAGAGATGAAAATCACCCATCAATAGTGAGTGTTTACTAATCTAATTCATAATATGAACATTACACTATATCATAAAAATGCCTACATTCACCACTGCTCAGTCTTTAAAGCAAGAGAGGTGTCAAAGATCATTTAAGAATGCTTGACTGCTCCATAAAAGCGCTAGAATTTCTCCTTTTTTGGGTGAACTCTCCTTTTAAAATGTACAACATATGCAGCTATAATGAAAATGGCAGATTTTTATGCATTAGAAACCATCATGCCAGTGAAATGCTGGTGCTGTGTTCTATTCAATGTACAGTATGGCATAAATCACAGCCATGGTGTAAGCAAAATGATGCTGCATACCTTAGCATTACTTACTAAGTTTGTCTCTGAAAGAAACATGAAGCGTGTGTGTGTGTGTGTGTGTGTGTGTGTGTGTGTGTGTGTGTGATCATGATAATCGTCTGCATTTATGTATCAGAACTAGTCACTGTGATAACCAGATTCTGCCTTACACTGAAGATGCAGTTTTGTTTCGTTTTTTTGTCCGATTTGTTCAACGTAGCTGAAGGTGTGTTCTGGTACTGTACAAGTTGCTTTAACAGTTCTCATCCGCCGTGATATATCACATGCCCAAACGGGGGGGTTTACTACTCTTTTTAAAATCCTGTCACATTCATCCTTTTCTCATTTTTCTCAGACTTTTATACTCAAATCACTTTTGTAAGTGTGAGAATTTTGTTTACAAAAACGAAAGCATTAATACGATCTTAATGTTTAAATTAATGAAATGCTGAGTATATATATCTATATATATAAATATATATATAAAAAAACTATTTTAAGAAAGTTTGTTATCCGTGTAAAATTTCTCTATGTATCGGATTTGGATTCATATCTATGCAAAGCATAATCAAACATACTAGATGACGAAAATACTAAAGAAAGACTCGGCTTTAACAGCATCTGTGGGTTCTGAGTCCGTGCAGCTGAATTTTACTTGTTACATGGATTTCTTTGTCTCTTGTTAAACAAAAAAAACAAAGAGAAGCAGTTACTGCATGGAAAAACTTGATTCAGTTTTGGAAGGGATCTGATTGCACCATGTAAATTTCCTGTATAAAAAAAGCATGACCTACATGTGCTTTGTCTCTGACAAGTGTTTTCATGAGGATCGTGCTTCACGTGTTCAAAATTTAACATAATTGACGGGAAGGATGTGTCAGGTAATCAGTTACTGTTATATTCCTTTACTTGACTGCCTCATCGAAAAGAAAACAGAATGTATTTCATCACTTTTTTATGTAGGACCAAACATATTACCGAAACTAGCATTATTTTTGTTACTGTGACGTACTTTTCCACGTGTTTAATAGTTGTTGTGGCCTCTCCGTTTCATTTGCAAGAGGCTGCATTGTACAGAATCTCTGTGAGCATTTCGTTCTTTTCCGTTGTTTTATTTTTTGCATGTCTGACCATCGCAAGTATTGGTGATTGATAAGCTGTGCACTTTTTATCTCTTCGATGTTTTGTTTTACATCTCCGTCTATGTGAACATCCTACTTCCTACATTTACTTGGCACTTTAATCCGTATTTTTTTCCTTCATTTTTTTTCCCCACACACCCCTCTGAGTGACTGTTAAGTGCACTGGGTCTATTTCCCCCCTCTGTTTGGCCGACTTTGCCTTCTACTCTAAGACAAGTATTTTTGAAAAGAAAAAAAGGTGTCTGTTGTGTATTTATGATTTTATACGTGGTCAACGAAAAAAAGGTGACAAAAAATAAACTTTTTTATGTAGTGTTAGGAAAGTATGAGAGTTCCCGGATGTTAATGAAAACAGGTTACATTTCTGCGTGTCTAGTTACCAGTTTACCTTTTATAAAGCTTCATATTTATGTGTCATTACCCATAAAGAGAGCATGCAGAAAATACAAAGGTCCTTACTCCGTATCTAATGTATGCACAGCCTTCATGTACATAAACGCTACACTTATACATTTCTATATTTTAAAAAGCGTAAAAGAGCAGAGCGTTAAACATCAGGAGTATGAAAAAAAAAAAAATATATATATATATATAAAATAAATGAACAATATGGAACTGTATGTTTTTACCTTTTAAAAGCTTGAAGCGGACGCTATACTGTCCCTCCGTTCAGGGGTTTGACACTTTAAATACACAGATCTGTGTTCATTATCAAGTGTGCTCACACTTCTAGCCAAATCATAAACAAATCCCTGCTGCAAATGTAAATGCAGTTTTGCTTTTCAGCCTCGATACACTGAACCTTGTTGAAGCTTTGTAATCTAATCTCCTCTTCTGTCTTTGTTTTGTAGTATTTGCGGTATGAGCTTCTTGTTTCTGGCCGATATTCTTTCATTTGTTTGTGTTTTGTGTGTGTGTGTGTGTGTGTGTGTGTGTGGATTGGGAATTTGCTGTTTTAAGTACTGTAAAAGTTGTCTTCACACTCAAGGTCTGTTTGCTGCAGTGTGTTGTAGATCTGTGATTTTGTCGCAGTGGTTGCTTTTATTCACTCGGTTTCTAGATTTCCAAATATCTGACTTGTTGGCCAGTGTATTTTTAATTTGAAATGTGTTCACAAGTGTCCTGAAAATTCAGAAAAAAGTTTTGTTTAGCAGATTACAGTGGTGAAACCGTGGTTAGCGGGATTTTCTCACGACAAGACGGTCGCTGGTTGGAGACGCCTGTGTGGGTTTCCTCCAGGTGCACCGGTTTCCCCAACAGTGGTGAATTGAAGATATTAGGTTGCCCATAGTGTGTGAATGAGAGTTTGTGAGTGTTTCCCAGCACTCTAAGTAATCTAATGTATTATTGTGGCTGGTAGGAGATCTGCCGTGTAAAACATATGTTAGAGTAATTAGCGATCCATTCTAGGCATGGGACGATAACCGTTATGAAGGTATACAGCGGTTTGGAAAAGTAAAAGTTTTAGAACCGCCAAAATAATGTTCTATCGTTCCAATAATATATCTAAGATTTTTTGTTTACGTTTTATTTTTGTTTTTTAGGACAACAGTATCCCCAGCAAAAAATCTGTAAGAATATCCAAAGATGCCGTTTTAAATAGTAAAGAAATACGTGTTTTTGAAACTAATGAACAGCAGAAGTCAATGCTTAATATGAATTATTTAGATGTTTACTACTCCAAAATATTTTAAATGTTTCTCAAACTGAAGTATGTTGTGTTTAATGGGGATTTTTTTTTACCCATATGTTTAAAAAGCACATATTTTAGAGCAGTAATCACAATACCACCAAACAATACCGTGATTTTTTTTATCCAAGGTTATCATGCCGTTAGAATCTTATATCGGCCCATGCCTAGTCCATTTTGCTGTGGC